CTGTTCCAGGAACAAGATCGATGGAAAATTCTACTTCTCTGGAAGATGGTATACCAGGAAGTTCGTCAGGAAATACGTCAGGAAAACCACATACTGTCGGTATGTCTTTCAACTCAGGAGTTTCCTTTCGTGTGTCACGTACGTTACACAGATAAGCTTCACATTTCTTTCGAATGAGACGCCTAGCGTGTATGTACGAGATGAATTCAGTGGATCTAGGTGTCAGATTCTCTTTCACCTCTATAGACTTTCCCTCTCCAGACTTTAGTTGAATTGCTCGTCGTCGGCAATCGATAATTGCTTGGTGTTCGGTGAGCCAATCCATTCCGAGGATGATGTCAAATTCTTTGTACGGTAATTCGACAAGATTGGCAGAGAACTGATGTCCTTCAACAATCAATGGACAGTCTTGATACACATGATCTAACCTCATACTATGTCCTAACGGGTTAGACACTAGTATAGGTTGTTCCAATTGTTCTTTCATTATGTCAGCTTTTTCAGGCATATGTACACAGATATAAGACAACGTTGATCCATGGTCTATCAACACATGCATGACAGTATCAAATAAGGAAAACATACCCTGAATGACGTCAGGGTTTTCCTCAGCTCGTGCCTTCATTGCATAAGTACGAGCAGGAGCTCGTCCCTGTTGCTGACTCTGGTTCTTGGCCGGATTAGATCCCGCCGTTGATCGTTGACTTGGTGCAGGTCGTGCTGATGCTAATTGGCTGACAACTGGGGCTGTCGGAAATGGTTTGCCAGGATTAGTGGGGCAATCCCTTCGAAAATGTCCAGGTTGGCCACAACCTAGACATAATCCTTGGGCAAGCTAACACTCGCCTAGATGATGTCTCCCACATGTATCGCACAAGGGGTGTTTCCACCCTCTTGATTTGTTCTCCGACGCCCCTGAGTGCGTCTTCACCGATTTCCCCTTCTTTGAGATGTGTGAATTGCTAGATTCCTGGAAGGGCCTTTTGCCTTTTGAGACAGAGCTGATGGGACGGTGAGTGCTTGAACCGACATTATTTGTCTTCAGATACTCAATGCAAGCACTCAAGTCAATGTCTGCCCTGGCTATGAGATCGTAGGCCTCCACGAAATCCACGGTGGTTAGGACGGACACACGCGACCTAAGGTCAGGTCGAAGTTTCTTTCTGAACTCCTCGATGCGATCGGTCGGGGTACTCACCAAGGTTGGTGAAAACTTAGCAAGACTGGTAAACTTCTGACGATACTCGGGAAGTGTCATGTCTCCCTGTTGCAATTCGACAAATTCCTTACGTCTTTCTTCGCTAAAACGTTTTGGAATATATTCTTGTTTGAATGCCCATTCGAAATGTGCCCATGTCCATGGCTTAGGGGTTCCCGCACTCTCATCGGTCCTCTTCCACCACTCGTAGGCTTCCTTGCGAAGTAGCTGAGACGCCAGTCAGGGATAGTTGCCAATGGGTACGTTAAGATCCTCCAACACTCGAGCAGTCTGCTCGATCCAATCCTATGCAATTTGGGGTTCACCGATGCGATCCCCAAGAAATAATTCTGCACCGTTATCCCTTAATGTTTTGTAGGTTATCACTCGCGGTGGAGGTGGTTGAAAAATTGGTGCGTTGGCTATCTGTTGTAATACATTTGCCAGGAATGTGGGAATCACAAGGTCGGGTTGACCATCAGCGTTCGGGTTATTCCCAACATTTTGTTGATTGACGGGTTCATTTTGGACGGGAGGGGTAAAGCTAGATGCTTCCGTATGAACACTGGCGTGTTCATTATTGTTGCCTTGTCCATGGGCAGATTCTTGACTCATTCTACAATAACAGAAATTCTTTTATTAGGATTCTTTTATTCAGTAGTTGAGTTTAAGACAGGAATTGCAAAGGATTACAACAGTTGATACAATCAATGGATTTGAAACCAACAATAAGATAATTTTCTAAGCGTTTGCGTTCGATTGGTTGGATCGTGACGAATCTACAGACGGGTCTTCCTTGCCCGACCCACATACACTACTGGCAGAGTCTACACTGAACGTCTCTTCTAGGTCATCTCGTTCCCATGCAGCCTTGCGGCGCAGATAAATCCTTCGTTTCATTATTCTTGCGAATCGATGTGCACGTTAGTAACGTATCAACGAGTCATAGAAATTTCATTTGTTCTTTCGTCTTTTACCAAGTACGAAAGTGCGACTTGAATCAACACTTGATATCATTTCCGAATTAACAGTTGACATCTATAAAATTTGATACAGTCAATTTCAATACTCATTTTTTTATTACCTTCCTGGAGCAGAGGGATGCGAGAGTCGTGGATTTGATTGACATCATTTTTTTAGGCCGAAATACATATATAATATGTAATTCTTTTTTTATATCCAAGTTTTGATCCAAAAATCGGGTTTAAAACCATTTGCTCCGATACCAAATTGTAACACCCTAATCCGTCCAGGTCTGCAGCCCCTTTCGGACTAAAGTATTGATTTGGTAATCGTGATAATTTAAAACATTTCAAACATTTTTATTTATAAATAATATTCCATACATAATTGTAGAGAAATACGGAGTGTTTAAATAAAATGCGGAAGCGACTTTAAAATATGTCTCATAACAACATAATTATTTATTTCATTCAGTAACCTACCACGACTGTCTCGCCCCTTCTGTTGCCAGGAATCAGCCAATCATTCATTCTGCCTACCTGCGTGTAGCAAATAAAACACACTACACGCTCAGCGGTGAAGCTGAGTAAGCATATCTAAAGCATCGAACATCCACATAAATTGAATCTCGATTCATAATCAACCATTTGATATCATGCACACAATATATATATCAAACATTCATATTATTCTCAATATTTTATTCCAAGTCATTTGATATTGAATATCTCAACAATGTTCTCAAATTATTCTTAATCTAAAGCCAAATCATTTCATAACAACTCTTAACTATTCCTAGTCTAAGGCAACATTTCTAACCAGGCCCTTAAACTATAAATAGTTTAATGCAGAACACAAGAATCGATAATCCACCCTATGAGTCATGTGGATTACGTACCAACCGAACAGTGAACTGTCGGGTGGGTGATATCTGTTCTGGATTCCGTACGTACGTTTT